CATGAGCACAAATAAGTGTTCTAGGATTCCCTCTTTTCTCAATGTTGGCCATAATTTGTTATGATCTACACAGTTAAATGCCTTTGTAAAGTCAATAAAGCACAAATGGATATTCTTCTGGTATTCTTTACTTCCAGTCTGGATGCATCTTACATCAGCAATTATATCCCTCCGTGGTGTCATGGCCTTTTCTAAACTCAGCTTGAACTTCTGGCAGTTCTCTGTCTAGAAACTGTTCTAGTCATTTTTTTATGATCTTCGGCAGTATTTTGCTTCCATGTGATATTAATGATTTTGTTAGATAATGTCCACATTCTGTTGGATCACCTTTCTTGGGAATGGGAGCAAATAGAGTTCTTTTCAAGTGGGTCAAGCAGCTGTTCTCCAAATTAGATAAACTGGTGAGTGTGGTCTAAAGTTCTATCTGTCATCTGAAACATGTCAGTTGGTATCCCGTCAATTCTTGGGGTCTTATCTTTTACCAATGCCTGCAATTGGAACTTCTTCCTTCTGGCTCTAGATCATATGGTACTTCCTGTAATATCTTAGTGCCAGCCAGTTCTTTTTGGTACAGGGATTCTGTGTATTTCCTCTATCTTCTTTTGATGCTTCCTAAAGAAACATCAAAAGCTTTTGATCATTCAAGATTTTGCTCATAGCATGTATGCATAGTATTGCAACTTGATGCTTAAACTATTTTTTTTTTTCAGTTCTTTCAGCTTGAGAAATTCTAAGAGAGTTCTTCCCTTTATATTCTCCAATTCTAGGTCTCTGCAAATTCTGTTATAATGGCTTGCTTTGTCTTCTCAAGTTGCCCTTTCAAATCTTCTGTTCATCTCTTCAACATGTTTTCCTTTTGTTTTTGGTTTCTCAATGCTCTAGTGCAATTTTTAGGGTCTTTTCTGAACCCACTTTAGTGTTTTCTTCCTCCTTTGTCTAGTCAAATGACTACAAAAAAAGACCTGTTAATACAGCTAATTCTCAAATTTATGCATTAACCAGAAATGCCAAAATTTTTTATAAATTACAACTGTTTGGAATTGATCACACTTGTAAGCAAGATGCCTTGATAAATATCGATGTTTAGAATGCGATCATCTGTCAATTAATTGTAGTGAGATAACCTGAGGTTTCTGTGATACTGAAAGCCATGCCATTGGTGTGTCCAATGCCAGAAGGGCTACCCATGATGGACAGGGTAGAGTTTGATTGAGCTTCCAGATGAAGATAGACTTGGAAGCAGCATTGGCATCCACTTTTTTTTTTTTGGCATCCACTTCTTAAATAACAGGTCTTTGAAAACCCTATGAACACTAGAGGAATGATGGTAATTACAGAACAGGGTTCAGATCTTTTGTTTATAGGGTTGCTATGAGTTGTGCTCGACTTGATGTCACCTAACAACAGCAACAGCAGAATGGGAGCAAAACAGAAGGGTAAGTAGTTAGAAGATGTGGTCTCGTTGATGGGAATGATGCTGGAGATTAAATCTGCAAGATTATCTATCAGAAAGTACAATAGCATCCCACATGGTTTCCCTGCCTTGGCTTGTCCCTTTCAATTTTCCTACTAGAAAATTATTTTTCTAAAATGCACATTTAATCATGTCACTTACCCCTCCTTTAAAATCTTACCTTTAAAAAGTCATATCAAAGGTTGTCTAAATTTTTTTAGGGTGGTGATGCTTTCCAATCTGACCCGAGCATATCCTTTTTTTTCTCTTTTGCCACTTAGCCCTTCTGCTTCCCATTCCAACTACAATGAGCTGATCAATGGTCGTTGACTATGCCATACTCTTTTATATCATTTAGTTGCTTTATATGCTGTTCTTTCTATTCAGAATGTCTTTCACACATTATGTAGTGTTTATGGGACATTCACAAGTCTTACTCAGTTAAACGGAGACCTGGAGGATGTTTACATGCTTAGTTACTGTCTTAGTTATCTAATACTGCTATAACAGAGATATTACAAGTGGGTAGCCTTAACAAACAGGAATTTATTCCTTTATCATTTTGGAAGTTGAAGTCCAATTTCATGATGCCAGCTGTAGAAGACTTTTCCTCTGTCTCCTGGTTCTAGGAGTTTTCTAGTATAGGGACTTAGGTCTAAAGGATGCACTCTGACCCCAGCACTTCTTTATTGAAAGTACTGAAGTTCTTTTCTCTGTACATTTTTCTCATCTTTCATCTTTTTTGAGATAAAAGGTGTTACAGGTAGTACCAAAGGGAAACTTTCCTCACATTGGATCAGGGTTGTGATGGAGTAAGAGTGTTTCAGTTCACTCTTAATCCTTTTATAACTGTTGGCTGTTTGGCTTGTCAGATCACACTATGATCATATAACATCCATATTATATAATTACATATGCATATTTTTGGGACACAATTCAATTCATGAGAATTGTTAATCAAAAGTTTGAGAGTTCAAAGTCACAAGGCACTCTGCAGAAGAAAGGAGTTGCAGTTGACATTCATAAAGACTTGGAAACACTATGGACAGTTCTGCTCTGTCCTAAAGGGTCACTGAGAGCCAGAATTGGTTGGACTGCCATGAATTTTGGCTTGTCTTGGGACTGAGTTAGAAATTGTCCATTTAATCCTCTCATAATACTTTACTCATACTTTCATACTACTGTAATGAGTTTAAGTGTGGCAGAGATGGTGAGAATGGCACAGAATGGGGCAGGGCTGAGATCTGGGCCACCCAGGGTCACTCTGAATCACAGTCTATGCCATGACACATAACAACAACAACAAAGTGGCCTGGAGAGAATAAAGGAGCTGCCTTTACTTTCAAGCCCATTACCTTCACAGTGGCCACTGTGCTGAGCACCCTCTTTTCATGGGATACTCATAAGTACAAAAGAGTCTATAAGGCTGAATAAGTCTGTAGCACATTGTGTTGGTAACTAAATGACTGCACATCTCTGACAGTTCAAATCTACTAGTGATGCTAAGGGAGAAAGATAATGAGTCTCTTCCTATTAAGACGTAAGATGTACAGGCTCAGAAACCTGACAGATGGTCGTTATGAGTTGGAACTGCAGTGTTGAAAGCAGTGTTTTTAAAATTCTGACTATCGATTAATTACTGGAGTAACAGTTAATTTTTTGTTTTCTTCATTTGTTAAGTTAAAAGTAGTTTAAAAGTGAATATATGTATATACAATAGAATATTATTCTCTTATACAAACGAATGAAGTTCTTATGTACATGTTATAACACAGATAAACCTTGAAAACATTATGCTAAGTAAAATAAGCCAAACATAGACCACAGATATTGCATGAATCCACTTATATGAATTATTATATGAAATAAGAAAATGCATAGAGACAAAAAGCAAGTTAGCAATTATTAGGGAAGGACTGACAGAGAAGGAATAGGGAGTTAATTGCATAATGACTATAGAGTTTGTTTAGGGTAATAAACTTTGGATATAGATAGGGATGATAATTGTACAACATTGTGAACGTAGTAAATATCACTGAATTGCATATAAAAAAATGGTTAAAATATCCAATTTTATGTTGTATACATTTTCGCACACACACACTCTCACACATACAAGGCTAAATATCCTGTGTACCTTTTTTGATTCACTTTCAAAAGTTGATGGCAGCATTTCTGGGAAGAGTTTCACAAACACTGGTAATAAGAATTCCATGAAGGGCACAATTACAAACACCAGAAATGGAACCAGGCGGAAGAGATCAGCACAAGTTCTCAGCAGCTAAAGAATTAAATGCAAATACAATATACTCATTATCATAGGACATGTTAAAACAAAACCACCAAAGAAGCAAATTTTGGGTTCTTTAAGATGTTAAAAATCCAAGACAGATTTTCCACACCTGTTTTATAAAATGGAAATACAGCTTTTCCTCTTTATCATAACTCTAAAGTATTGCTTATGGGATATCTTCAAGGAAATTCCTGATAATCAAAACATGTTACTGATATCTCTTTGTTTTCATCTATGTTAGAAATCTATACTCTAATCACATAGTGTGTTAAAACTGGTTTTAAATATGCATATATTTTATTTAATATACTAATAGCAGTTTGTACTTTAAATGCACAAATACTTGGAGAGAATAGAAAATAGTTTAACTATTCTATACACGCAAATATCTACAGATGTAAGTAAGTACAAATTATAACTTGCTTAAAGTTGTACAGCAAGTTAGTTGTACATAAGGAAGAAACTCAAAAAGTAACTGTGGTTTACATCAGCAGTTTTTGTTACAGCGTTTGCATTTTAAAGACAAATCTTAAAATTTAGTTCCCAAATGGTTAATTTTAACATTACATGTTCTACCTCAAATATTACTCTTGCCTACCCTTCGTCTCTCTCGTCTGGTCAGCATCTGTCCATGCAACAGTCTCCAAACCATTCTGGCAGCAAATTTGGTGTCAATCCAAAGCAAGTAGAATCCATTGTAATAATGTTTAAGTTCATTCCGAATCATTTGTGTATAAGATTGCTTCACTTCCTTTTTTTTGGTGCCAGTTTCTTTTGTGGGCTGAGTACTTGTTACCTGTGGCTGTTCTGTGGTTTGAGTTGGCTGAGGTTTACCAGGGACCTCTTCAAACCAGCGTGTTGATGTGTGTAGCTTTTGTATTATTCTAACTTGTAAGTGAAGTACTTTATTGCAAGAATAAGGACACTTCTTGCTCCCATAGTTCTTCATATATGTTTTCTTTAAATGGGAATCTGGCAATTGAAGATATGCAAGTGATGAGGAAAAAGAAGAGGAGGTAGGATGGATAAAAAGGCTAGGGAATCTGGAATAAAGAGCAACATCCTTTGAGTTGAACACATTCAAAACTTAAAAGTTAAAGAAATAGATTTCTTACCTGATTTTTAAAAAATGATCTTTAAGCCTGTATTTTAAAAGTAAACTATTTTCATTATTAAATAAAATGTGATTTTTTTTAACCTGAGTTGAGATCACTATGATTGAATAATATATTCCATGAGAAATATGAATAATTTAATTCATAAGAACAAATGTTTATTTTAGGAATGAAGTTCTGTAACTACTAATTTAAAAATCTAATACCAGTTTTTCACAAGTGATTAACATTTGAAAGTGTTGTTTCTATCTATTGTCATAAAATAGGTTGAAGACTTGTATTGTCAGTCATTGCACTGTCAAATCAAAATAACACCAAACCACTGCCACTGAGGCATTTCCAACACATAGTGAACCTCCACTGGGTTTCCAGGACAAGAGGAGACTGCCCATTTTTCTGCCATGGAGCAGCTGGCAGGTTTGAACTTCTGCCCTTTACGTGAGCAGAACAACACATAATGTATACTGTTTAAATAAAACAACTTCATATTCCTGAGGGAGATTAAACAATCACATTAATGCTGCTCTGTCTAGCTTCCTGCTCTCGAATGAGAGGAGTTATAACTCATACGATGCTCTCCTACTAAAATTCAAGAATTTTAGGAATAAGTATCAGAATTCAGTGCTCCAGCCATGGACTCACACACTCTAGTTCTGGGAACTCCAACCACAATCAATCTTCAGGTAAACTAGTATTTTAGATTATTTGAAAATAAAAATAAGATCTATGTAAGCAAAGAGAAAGGAAATGGTCTTTGTAATTATATCCTGTGCATCAGAAAGCTGGATGACTAGGGATGATTTTGAGCTCTGGTCCTGGGAGAAGAGTATTGAAAATACTCTGGAAAGCTAGAAAAGCAAACAAGTTTATCCTTGAGAAAGTGAAACCAGGCTGCTCCAGGGAGGCAAGGATTCTGAAGCTCTGTCTGACATACTTTGGGCATGTTGCAAGGAGGGACTAGTCCTTGGAGAAGAAAAGCATGCTTGGGAGGGTGGAGGGACAGTCTAAGAGAGGAAGACCCTGGATGAGATGGAGTGATTCAGTTACTGAGGTAATGGGGGCAGGTGTTTCAGAGACAATAAAGTTGGCTCAGGATAGAGCCGGGTTCAGAGATGTTGTACATAGGGTCGCTATGAGTCTCAGGCAACTTGACAGCACATAACAAGAAGAAGCAAAGAGATAGCTTTTCCATTCTTTCAGACTGTTTTTGAAGTCTTCTAATAGTAAACTACTCTTTAAATGTCCTCATATTAGAATATACAATATATTTGTCACATTGAAAGTTCTTAGGAATATTCTTTTGAAGTAAATAAAAGACCTTAAATGAGCAAGTCAATGTTCCAGGACTGGTTTGCTCTCCATTTTGTGTCATTTTAACACCTAAAACTCAATTCATTGCTCATGAATCAAAGCCACTTCATAGCTGACACTGCAGCAAGTTTTGAGAGGCTGTAAATCCCTTAGGTGGAGTTTGCTGGTGTTTCTCCTTTGGAACTGCTTATGGATTTTAACTGGAAGTCATTAGGTTAGCAGTGCTACTCCTTATGGACTATACTACTAGACTTCCCCTTTAACATCTAAAAGATTCCTGTAATATTCCTCAGTTACACAGGTATCATTCTAAAACTTCATCTATAAAACTGTTTAATAAGTCCAGGTTCTAAAGCATAAAGTTATATGCATCTTTGTAAACTCCTAAACCCCTCTGTTAATGAGTTAATCCTAACTCTAAGTTACACTTACAGAACAGAGTGTAAATTCTCAGAGAGTTTACAAGGTTGTAGATCTTTTTGGAAGCAAACTACTGAATCTTAACCACTATGCCACCAGGGCATACAAAATACTCTAAGTTCAAATACATTAAAATGTCAGCTTTCAAAATTGTTAGTACACCAACAAAGTCTTAATTATATATTAAATCTATGCTTTTATACATATTTTTTTGTCTATCTAGAAAAGCAGAGTTCAATATTACAGAAAAACATCCAATACTTACCTTGTTCGGGCAATAGCTAAGATTGTATTACAAGAATAGAAGGCCATATCTGTATATTTTTCTTTCAACTAGTCAACAAAGGGACCTAGGCAGGAGTAAGCAATCAATTTAGTATTTTAAAAACACAAAAACTAAAAGATATGAGGATTTAACTATTGAAAATTTTTAGAAAATGTGGACTTTCTACTCAAGGTAGAAAAACTCACTTATGTTTCTGACTGACAATAAAGAACAATTGCTTAGTGCTCAAATTAAGAGTAGGTCCCTGAGATTCCAACAAATAAAAATGATCTCTAACGTGAAAAGCTGGCCTCCAAAGGTACTTCAATTTCTAGTCAATTGTATGCAGTAATTTGCGTGAATTGTTGTCAAGAAGCTAAGCAAGACATTTATTTGTAATCTAAAAACAAAAAGAGAAAAGTAATATCCTGGACTTGTTGAAATTAACCTGCACCAAAAACTAGACTCCATAATTTCATTTATGTAGCAGTGAATACGTACACAGTACTTACTAACATTTCAAGTAGAGGCAAACTGGTTTCTTGGGCTGGTGATTCTCCCAAGAGCCCAAATTGAGCTTTATACTTTAAATACTCTCCTGTGTGCAAGAGCGGTAAGGAGCCTAAGTGTCTCACTGTCAAACCCTGCTTTCGTGTAGCTGAGTTTTCTACGTGGAAACCTCAACCATAGACGTGAGATTTTAAACACCGGCTTAAATAACCCTTGGAATATCTCAAAGCACAGGGAACGCAGATCAACGTCATAGTCTCTTGCTAAAGAGAGATGAAATTGTTACCTTTGTTTTAGACACTTCAGGAAACCATGCAAAACGCCCTCTCGGCTTCCTCAACCAGTGGCCATTGTTGGGGATCAGTAGATCGTGTTTGTTGTGGTGGGATCTAGCGTATGTGGTATCTCTTTTGTCTTGGTTGCAGGGGTGAGGAAGGCACCTGAATGAAGAACCTTGTTGGAGATCTGAGTGTAAGGGAGGGAAACAGGAGAATCAGGAGGCGAAGCACGGAAAGAAGAACGGAAGTCGAGCTCTAAGTTTGGGGGAACGCGTAGACGGAAGAAATCAAAAGCCAAGGAAAGCGTGATGGGACACTGGAAGTGGTCAGTAAAACTGGGCACCTGATGGGAAGAGCGATGCGGGAGGAACGGGCTCAGGAGAAGAAACGGCGGATCAGTTCACCACTAACAACAGCCGGAGGATTGGCTCACCACCACCCTACCTCCTCGGCTGGGTTCCCCCGGAACAGCCACTTTTGTCCTCCCAGCTCTTCCCCAGTTGCCCCCTTCTCGTCTACCGCCGGCACCCAAGCTAGAAGGGCTGAGGCCAAGTCTCTATGGTTCCTCACCCAGCGCCGTCATTCTGAGTGACGACACCACTAACCAATGAACTCTCAAATTTCGAGGAGGGTGGGCCGGTCTGTCCTTCACCATACCCGCCCAGAACGCCCCAAGGTCTTGCTCCTACCATTGAAATGATTAATTTAAGGAGCATCTGTTTGAGGTGGCCCAAAGATTAAAGTTTGTTTGTCTGTCTACATACCTTATTCTTGGAAACCTTTGGTGGAGGTTGGATTAAAGACTCTCTTGTCCTACTACTAATCTTAAATGCTTGGTAGTCACCATGGTAACCACCTTGTAGTCACAGATTACATCACTTTGATGTAGTCCCCTTTCCAACTCCGCAACTGCCTAGGGAGAGAGGGAGTGGCAGAAAGGGCGGGAATAAGAAGGAAAACATCTCTTTCTCCTTTCTCCAGAGACCATGACTGGAATGATGTGAAATCTTTTTTTTTTTTTTTTTATGGAAATCTGAATTCCTCTAAAGAAATTTGCTTTATAAATGTTCTTTTAACAGATGATACGATTACTTTAGAATAATGATTACGTAGAAGTCTCAAATAATACATAATTTCCATATGTTGTTATGTGCCATCGAGTCGCTTGCCACTCAGAGCGACATCCCTAAACTCTGCTCTGTCCTGTGTCAATATACCTGTACATAAAGTCGCTATGAGTCGCAGGTGCACAACAACAACAACAATAATAACTGTACAGGCGAGCTCTGGTGGCCTAGTGGCAAGAAGCTGCACTGCAATTCCAGACCAGAGGTGAGCGGTTCAAATCCACCAGATGCTCTGCTGGAGAAGGAGGGACAATCTCTTCCTGTACCACTCAGATCCGATTCGACGGTACACACAAAAAGTTAAAAAATAATTAAAAAAAAAATTAACTGTACAGTGACTTGCAAGTTTGTAGGCACTTATCTTCCTAGAGAAAATGAAAGATCTGGAATTATTCTGTTCTCCTCCCATGCATTTTATCTGGAACTAGAAGGAAGAAAAAAATGTAAATGGCTATACTCTTGACTAACCTCAGACATGACAGCAAGAAATCTTTCTTAGGGAGAATACTCAACGTGCAAGTCGACCACAGAATTTATTAATCTGAGCTGTACATTTGTAAGAATGAAAGATAGACGGTATTAAATTTCAGTAAGAATTGCAGATTTCTTTTAATCCATAAAACAAAGCGTTTGTAGCCTTGATAAACCCACAACGTAAACTCTTAAATACCCAGGTAAAACTTTTCAATTTAGCCACTAGAGGTCTCTTTGTGCATATCTGATACCAACTTTCCCTGTGTGGAGGTTTCACTGTTTCACTTTACAGGTTCTATGTTTACTAGAATTAACATTACTTAAAAAAGGTTTGATCTCTACTTTTCTCTTCCTGAAAATTCCCAATGGCAAATTGAGTTCTACAAAGCTAGGTATAACTTTCACATTAATTTAATAAATTAATCACAGTACTGCTATGTACATCTGCTTTTCTAGGAGAGATAATAAAGGATGCAAAAATATTCCTCAGTTCTCTGGGGGAGTCTTTTATGTTGTTGTTGTTATGTGCCGTCGAGTCGCCTGCGACTCATAGCGACCCTAAGTACAGCAGCCCTAAACTCCTCTCTGTCCTGTGCCAATCGCACTGTCTCTGACACTCCCATCCCAATTATCCCAGTCACTGAATCAATCCACCTCATAGAGGGCCTTCCTCTCCTGCGCTGTCCCTCCACCCTCCCAAGCATGATGTCCCTCTCCAAGGACTGGGCCCTTCTTACAACATGTCCAGAGTATGTTAGACGGAGCCTCAGAATCTTTGCCTCCAAGGAGCCACCCGGTTTAACCCTTTCCAGGACAAATCTGTTAATTTTCCTAGCAGTCCACGGTATTCTCAATACTCTTCTCCAGCACCACATCTCAAAGGCATCAATTCTCCTTCTATCCTCCTTGGTCATTGTCCAACTCTCTGATGCATGGAGTCTTTTATACTGGGAAATATTCTTTTTCATGCATTGTATTCACTTACAACTAAGCACAGTGAAAATAAGTATTCATAACCCCCATAAACAATTCCATAGTCTGTATTTGGAAAGAGATGAGCTTGTTATTTCTACTATAGCCATATGTCAGTAAATCTATGTTGACAGAAGCATTACAAATGGTAAAATCCATTTGCTGTAAGCAAAGTTTTGCATCTCTTGTTAGCTTTGATTTTTTTTTTCTTTTTAAATTTCCAAGATAAGTAACTTCTCATGTATGCAGATTTATATTTTAGAAGGTTTGGGGTAGGGACGGTTTAAATGATCTTCGGAGGAGAAACAAGCAAAAAACCAACAAAACCCCAAAACCTGCCTCTGTTATACTGTTCCCTTAGAACTGTTGGTTGCTGTTTTTACAATCTGCTCAATTTTTATGAAGAGAAAGCATGTTTTGAACCTGAGAAGGTGTTTATAAAAGCAAATAATTTTTCCCCTATTAATTAATATGATCAAGTTTATTCAAGGAGTGAATGTGAGTCAAATAATTCTTTTCAATAGCCATTTCCCTACATATAGCTCCAAGTCAAATGTTATTGTTGTGTGCTGTTACGTTAGAACTGATTCATAGTTGACCTTACAGAGGATTTTCAGAGGCTTTAAATCTCATGGAAGCAGCTGGTACGCATGTCTTTGGGTTAGCAGTGTAACTCCTAACCACCAGGCCATTAGCAGTGCATTTTTACTGTTTTACAGGAAAAGGCTTGACAAACTGAAATCTTGAACTCTTGTTGTCAATATAACTACTAGAAGTGGGCTGAAATTAACTTCCTGAAGACAATTTAGGAGATTCTCCTCAAAGGTAGAATCCAAATGCTAAGTCAAGTCTACATTTTATCTACAAAGCAAGAAGGCCGGAAGAAAAAAAGAGGTGGAAAGGATCATAAAAAGATAATAAAGACTAATTTAACCACTCTTTCAAGGAGTTAGAAACAACTGTAAACAAGCTCGGATGACCCCTTTGGCTTTTTGTGTTTTAAAAAGATAATAAAATGTGCTTTTGTTGATTTTGTTTAGCTTTTGGTACTAACCAACTACCATGGACTCAAAGTGATCAAGTTTCCAAGGCTGTGTACCTTTACCGGAGACTTCTTCCCTCAGGGGATTTGAGGTAGATTCCCAGTCCAAAATTCCCTCATTATGTCACAGAGGGCTCATGTATAGGTTTAAAATGTAATAATTATAGTAATGATAATGTTTCATTATCAGTAACATATTTTGTATAAAAGATCGTGGTAAACACACATAATTAGTAATTCATTAAGATAATTGATTTGCAAGAAACTTTTAATATTGTGTATGAGTGGCATTTAAAAGAAAGCTATCTGAATCGGGATAGGTGTGTCGGAGGCAATGCAATTGGCACAGGATAGAGCAGGGTTTAGAGCTGTTGTACATAGGGTCGCTATGAGTCGCAAACGACTCGACGGCACATAACAACAACATCTGAATTTTCTTTTTAATATCTGGAATTTTTGGAGATCCAACAGTATAAAATCTACTTGACAGTGTAACATCAACTAGCAATGTGGAAACAAACCGTGTCTTTAAAACAGACCAGAATGCTGATTTCATCTGATTGCTAGCCTTTTCTTTGTAAATTCATTTCTCTGTGCTGCAACTTTCTAAGTAATTTACTCAAAACGAAATTAAACCTCAAACT